AGAGTAAATTGATGTGGTTATAATTGCCAAGTGTTTTACGGAAGTTAAATGGACACCAGTGAAAAGGAAATAAATGGACTGTATTTAACTGGAAACTTTGTGTGCGTCAATTACGCCAACATAGCGGATCCTCAGAGGCTTAAAGCGTTGGCTTAGCCTCTACAAGTGGAGAGGAGATACAGTACAATCATTTAGTTTCTGACCCTGTCGATGAAGCACTGCAGGAACCACTTAGTGCTGTAGATCCCCGCAGACATCTGCTCCCTGTCCTGCAGACAGAAAGAGAATCACATTAATATCACAACCCCACACACTCTGTCAATGAGTACTTTCTCAAATGTGGCTGTATCAATAAAACGTGATTGATTGACACATCTGACATCTTGTTGCTGTGTCTTCTATGTTTTTGTGTCAGTGAGATCTCACCAGATGTTTCTTCAGCTTGGGGATGAGTTTGGAAATGATCTGATCGTGATGAGTCTGAAACCGCTGCAGTTTGGGGAAACCTGGGACAAAAAACCCTGAAGACGAAAGAGAGGAGAGAGGCCTTTCTTAGTCACACTTCAGATTCAAACATCGTCATTGGCATACAGTCGAAGAATTGAAAAGCATTTTCAGGAATATTGATGAAAACAATAAACATCTTTATATGTTCATTCTGAATACCGTTAGTATATTGGTTTTGAACAATAGCAGAATTAACAAACATTTAAAAAATATGTTTTAAAGGAATCATAATTACTATATTTTTAAGTCAACAAAAACAATACAAAAAGAGCCGCTTACTTAACCCTTAATCTGATAAATGAAAGTAGTAAAATATTACATTTGATTTGATCTCTTATCGGACATTTATACTTTAACTTCTTATATTTATATGAGTATCAATTCAATTTTTCTAATTTATGTTTTATTGTTTGTTATTCTTAAATGGAGCGACTATCACAAAACCCAATTTCCTCCGCTGGGATATATAAAGTATTCTAATTCTGAATAAGATCAAAATAATAAACTCAAAATCACGTCACAGTTCCTTTAGAGGGAAATAAGTCCAACATTTATTTCCTTTTTCTGAGCATTTCACCTTAAAACAGATGCATGAGTCAGATTGGATGTTCCTGTGAAGCTTGCTGCTGTTTCTCACATACACAGTGTGTGTGTGTGTGTGTGTGTGTGTGTGTGTGTGTGTGTGTGTGTGTGTGTGTGTGTGTGTGTGTGTGTGTGTGTGTGTGTGTGTGTGTGTGTGTTTTCTCACCGTGCATGCCGTGTGTGTGGTGTGTGTGTGTGGTGTGTGTGTGTGTGTGTGTGTGTGTGTGTGTGTGTGTGTGAGGAAGTCCACGGATTGGACCAAACGTAACAGCTCCGCGGACGTAACGTAACGGCTCCGCGGATAGGTCCATTTGATTTGATTTGGTCCAATCTGCGGAGCCGTTACGTTTCGTTACGTCACTATACCCGAAATACATCACTATACCCAGGAAGTAAACAATGGAAAAAGAGAAATCTCCAGCGAGGCGTTCTGGGGCA